CGTGGTTACGGGATCAGTCAATCGACCAAACCTGTACAGAGATTTGTTACTGAAAATAACAGATAAAAAGTTATTTTCTTAAGAAACATTTGATAACTATCTGGACGTTATAAAGATTTCGTATATGGAATTTTAAAACTTTCTGATGCACAAAAATATTTTTAATCTTAAAATGAAAATTGCTTTGCATTTTGGATAGGCAACATGCAAAAAGAAGAAAAAAGCATGAGAAAAAACACTGCTTTACAAACCTTAAGACTCAATAAAAAAAAAGAAAAAAAAATTTTAGTGTACGAAAGCATTGTAATGTTTACTGATAATCTGCCAAATTTCATGATCATATACACTTACTAATTTAAAAGTTACAGGATGAAAACTATAACAAGCACAAAATGGTTACGAGGTCGATCCCAAGGATGAAGCCCATGGTGAAAGAGTTTTTTCCCTATATATCCATTTTAGTGATTCTTATTATTGTGTGGAGATAAAGTTACACGTGTCTTACAAAAATTATGTTTGGAGAATCTGGAGATCATATGCTAGTTGTTTGTAATGTGCGACATATTTAAATACGTCTTAAAAAATTATGGGTTTGTTCAGTGTTGAAATATTTAGTTCAAAAGTTGAAACATAGGTCTTTATCACACATGATGTGCATTTGTTTGGTTATTATGAAGAAACTGTACCGGTTGATAGTCCTGTGACATAGTTACCTATGTTTCAAGAAAATCCTGCATAATTTTGGTGTTTGATAAGTATTTAGTACAAAAGTTTCAAACATCAAAACATAAATTAATATTAATATTGTTGAACAGTTCACGAAAATTATAGAATTTAAGTAAAACGAATTTGTCTTTACCTCCAAAATGCATCTACTCTTCACTTATTTCATAAATCTCGAAGTATTTCTTTAATCACCACATTTTTAGTAAAAACTACGTAGAAAAATGAAACGTTATTGTGAAGAAAAGTACATGTGCATTCTGAAAGATACTTAAATAGCACTTTTAAGCCTCTTCATCGTATTCTAAGTTAGAAAGTAGAAAACATAGTACAGACATTCCAACCCAAATTTTCAACTCTGTCTCTACAAAGGATAAGATATTTGGTAGTAATAAAAGTTTATGTTGTAAGGCCAAGTAGATAATATATGTGTTAAAACACCAAAATAATATTTCTTAATTAACATTTATTCACCACTTAAAACTTTTTAAACACTGACTATAATGTTAGTAATAGTAGGCCTACCAGTAGTATAATCAAATACCTAAATATTCTGCAAAACTTAGCTGAAACACTTCTTGGTAAATTTTATTTTACTTTTGGCTACAACTCAATATCATAAAAGTTCTGAATTAAATGGTTTTGCTGTTATATTACCGAAGTTATCATAAAAGTTAAGAATAAATACAAACCTTTCTAGCAAATCAACATGAATATTGAGCATTCAAAATAAACACTATAGCTGGCCTAAAAACAATAAGGCGATAGTTTTGTTGCTAATCTAAGGTGTATATTGTTGAGCATTACCAAAAAACGGAGTGTGAAAGCATTCTTGACAGAGTAAAAAAGGGAAAAAGCCTTTTATAGGTATTGATATACATTACATATTTCCTTGTTAGAGAAAATCTGGAGATTGCACCAACTGTTAGTTATGTACGAAATAGTTACATACGTTTCATGAAAATCATGTGTGCACTTAGTGAAGTAGTGTTGGAAAGTATTTAATTTCTAAATTACGAGCCTTGAAACGTGTTATTATGTGGCAAGTGTTTGTTTAGCTTTTACAGAAATTTGGTAACTATACCATTGGTTTTTATTAATTATACATGGCATAGTAAATATGGCTTCAAATGAAAATTATCCACGAGCTTGGTATTGAAAAAGAATTTATTAATAATTTAGTTCTAAATCTTCTAGCAATGAAATATAAATTATATTTGTTCATGAAACTGGAAAATGTACCAGTTGTTAGTCGTATGTGGCATATATAAATTTTTCTTAAGAAAACTATCAAAAAAGCCAATTGGAAAAAATATAAGGAGACATTAAAACATCTCCCACATGAACCTATCAAAGTACTGCTCAGTAATCTCAGAGAGCCTCATAAAAAAAAACAGCAAAGAACATAGCAAAAGCACCAAATCAGTTGGCAACCAAACACTGATATAACCAACAAAATAAAGGAATGAGGAAGATTAGGGAGAAAATATATAACAACGGAAACCAACAAATCAAAACAAAAACGTTTAGAAACCATAAAAGGAATGACATTAAATTACTCAAACCACAAATATGTGACACCTTCTGTACACAATTAAACTCAAAATCAGATCATAAAGAATTTTGGTCTCATATAAGAAGGGCTATCAAATCATACAAAAACAACTACTACCATCCATCCCAAGTTAAAATATAACAATAAACTAGCATACATTAATAAAACAAAGCACATGCCTTCATGGAAGAGCTTCATAAAACCTTCAAAACACCAAATGAACAAAATATAAACAACAATTTTATGAACATAGTAAAAAAATTATGTAAAATAATTCCTCACCTGTACATGCCAAACTTAATAACTCACACCTTATATAACAGCACAAAAAAATTTCAGAACAGTACAACATAACAAAACAACTAATCAAACCTATAACATTAGCAGAAATACAAAAAACATTAAACTATTGAAAAATAAACCACCAGGACAATACAAAGTACAAAACATTTTACTCAAAAAATGTCATCTAAGATTACTAGAACACCCAATACTGCTCTTCAATTTATTCCTGAAAAGAGGATACATACCAACCTCTTGGAAACAGCCTGATGTTCTTATGTTCCAGAAGGTAAGAAAACCAACTAATAACCCCAAAAACCATAGACCCATAAGTTTAACAAGCAGCATAGAAAAATTACTAGAAAAATTATAAATACCAGACTAATAAATTACCTAGAAACTAAATCAATACTGTCAGAAATACAAAACGACTTCTGAAAAACAAGACAAACAACAGACCATCTATCCAGATTAAGAGAAGATATAATTCATGGCTTCAACCAAAAACTGCACAGTCACATGCTTTCTCAGTGTAGAAAAAGCACTTAACAAAGTATGGTGCAATGGCCTCATATACAAACTGTCCAAAATGGGATTCCCTAGAGAAATTATTCACAGGGTTTCAGAGTCAACATAGGGGGTACCTACTCAGAGTGCTACGCTTCAGAGACAGGCATCCCTCAGTGATGGGTAGTTAGCCTTACTCTTATTTATTATGTATGTTAGAACATGCCTCTTAAACTTAAGGACCCAAAATATACCTCGTGCTCACAGTTCACACATGATGTTGCTATTTGGAAGAGTGCCCAAAAGCCTACAACAGCAACATACATAACATGCAGCTACTACTAAATGAAATAGAACATTATTGGAATAAATGGAGAATCAAAATAAGCACAAATAAAACAAGTAATTTTTTCATGACATAAAATAAAACAAGTAACATAATACCTCAGTTATATCTATATGGGACTGTCTTACACTTACAGGTAGCAACATAAGCAAAATTCTTAGGGATTATATCTGACTTAAAGTTAACCTGAATATAACACAAACAGCATTAAAACTGGGATCTTGAAAAGAACTTGTCTAAGGAGTCTGAGAGGCAAGAATCAAGGAGTCTCACCAAAAAACATTTTAAAATACATAAAACATACATAAGACCAGTTACTGAATACACTTGCACAGCATGGATTAATATATCTAAAATGCACATCAATAAACTACAGCAAATACAAAAATTATATATTAACAAAAGAATACCCATGCTCAAGAAATTAAACATTTCTTTTTAATTACTCAAACATGCTGTCTCTGTCAGACAGACTCCTAGACAACTCCCTTCAATATTACAACTTATATACAAGAAAAACAAATACAAATAAACTGATGAGCAAGATAGAGATAATCACACAAAATGGACATGGCCTGAATAGGATATATCAAATTAGAAATTGAATACAATCGACAATACCTTAATATAGCGTGAGTAAAGCATCAATGTAAGGTGACATTAAATATGAATCGGTTTCAGTACAATTTGTACAATAAACAGAATAACACAAATTTCCGATAGAGGTCTACGTTACACCTGACCCTACCCAGTCCCTGCTCCTAACAACGAACCTAGGCTAAATCCCAACGTAGAACGAACGCGCAAGTTTGATGTTGGAAAATTTTAGTTCAAAAGTTACATAAGAGAAGCTAAAAGTGAAACATAAAATACGAATTTGTTGCGAATACCGTCGTACACCAAAAAGACAACGTCAATATTCATCATCTCATACGTATCGAGAAGAAAAAAAATATTTAGCGATGTGTCAAGAGGTTAATCAACTTAATCATTAATGTCGTGATTGATTTGATGTATAATTGTATTTAAGTTAAATTAATAATAAAACGTTTAGTGCAATACTTGGTGCGAAGTTCTACATACCCGATTTGCTACAATTTCCCTTTTCCATCTGCATTTCTTGATTTAGTTTAGAAAAGACACTTTAAAAAATTGACAAACAATTAGTATCCAAAGAACCCAGTCAACACACTCGAGTCTAACATCTTATACCATTGGCTTCCACACTTTATGTAATGGCGCCCTCAACTCACTATTATTTTTCTCGCCCCCCCCCCCCTTCCTACTGAATAATTTTCAAAAGTGATAATAACAGAAAATACAGTAGTTTCTTTACTTCTCTTTAATCATTTTTTTCTAAAGATTTAGCAGAAAAATTTAATGTGTTAATTTTTTTCGTTTTTTCTGCTTCTTTCACCGTTATTTTTTTTTGGTTCTCCTGGCATAAGGATGCACACACCCTGGGGGGCGCGCTGCACAGTTCGAAACAACTGTTTCACACTTTACAGTACCTTCGTAAAAGTTATTTGAAGATACAACAGATAAAAATAAACCATTACAAACTTAATTTTAAACACTTTTTTTTATTAAACAAAACGTCAATATAAATGTGAAACAATTAATTTTGTTCCAGAATTAACAAAAATCACAATTATGTACAAAATATACATTTTAAATAAATTATACACTAGCAATATAAGGGAGAAAACTATAATTTCGTAGAGAAAAATATCGTGCTGCTGTGCTACATATAACATTACTACGATTTTCTACCTTCGTATATTAGAAATATATTATCTAAGTTTATCAGTTATTCTATGCAAGTGCAATTTTTACATATCACTTTTTAAAAAAAAGTCGTTAAGTTGATTTTGTTCTAGCTGCTTTTGTTCCTTTGCCATTCTCTATAAATAACATCTGTTCTGCCTAAGGATTTAGTGGTCATTGGAATGTGGCTGTAACTCAAGGATTTCGTAGCGATGCCCTCAGGTTGTAACAAACTGAAACAAAACGCTGCTACGACCAAGGTAAAACAAGAAACAATTTATTGAACTATAGCAACAGATATATAAAACATAACTTTAAACAACTGAAATACATATTTTATCACTTACAAAAGAAAAAAAAAAGTTAATAAATCCGTGCCTCACCAGGACTTGATGCAAACGTTAATAAACAATACAATATAAATATCAATATTATTCATTTCAATAAATAAAGGAATTAGGGGAAAGAACCAGAGAGAGAAGAAAAAACTAATTTCAAAATTAAACTACTTCAAAATCAATAATAATATTACGCAATAATTCGTTCTCACTATATCTCGTGAACCAACTTTTTGAGATGAAGGAAGGGTTTTTATTTCGTTGTTAGACCACGATGTTACATCTCACATGACTAGCAAATTTACATAATACAAACATACTCAAATTCAACATGCTTCATCTAGAAGGTGAGTTAGCACTTTAATATAACTAAAAATTCCTAGTTGAACTAAATGATCGAAGGAATAATAAATGAATGGTAAACAATACCATAACAAAATAAAAGTAGAATTCGCTATCTCACACGGTGATATTTGAAGATTACGATCTCCCTTATGTTTCAGTTAGTTTTTGTTTGTTCAACTGTGCATAAAGCTAATCGAGGGTTATCTGCATTAACTGCCCCTAATTTTGAAGTGATAAAGTAGAGAGAAGTATGTTAGTCAACACCAAGCCATCGTTAACTCTTGGGCTACTCTTTACCAATGACGAGAAGAATTGACTACCACACTATAACAACCCATGGCTGAAAGGGCGAGTATATCAATGAATGGGTTTTGATCCTGCAACATGCAGATTGAGAGTCGCTTTAATGGAATTGATTGACAGTTACATAAATGGCATACTTTTTTATGACTTCCTGATTAGCTCTCTCTTTCTCAAGCTCTCAGTTTGTTAAGATTAAGTCTTTGCTTTGTAAATAGTAATACTCTCATAAAGTTTAACCTGTAATATTAACTAATTAATTAGCATCTTTATAAGTTATTAACAGAATTAAGAGATATGACTATTAATTAAAAGTACCATTCATCGCGTTATAAACTTATACCCACATTGATATGTATTTGTAGAAACTTGAATAAAAATTGTTTTATTGTGCTTTTGTACATTTGTGTCTACTTTCTTTTTCAAAGATAGAGAACTCAGAATTACTTCATTAAAAATACCGTTTTGAACATTCTTTTGTTTGTTTGTTTTGAATTTCGCGCAAAGCTACACGAGGGT